CTGATATACAAAGGTGAGAATATTTATCTCCAGTGCAAGATCACAGGAGGAGAAGGAACAAAGTGGACGTATGAATGGAGACCAACTAGGTTAAATAAACCTGAAACATCCAATGAATACATTAACATACATTCAGCTAATGAGTCTCATAGTGGAGAATACAGCTGCAGAGGAACTAATGGGAGTGACTCAACAGCCTGGAGCGATGCTGTCATATTAACTGTGTGTAAGTTGGTCATAAATCTTTCATATAAAAACATTATTGCACATTTTCTAATGTGTTTGATGCAGATAAGTGATAATTAGTTAAAAGATTAAGGTTTTTTCATTATCAATGTTTGTTCTTTAAACTAGTTTGTCTGATTCTTTGGATTACCAACCCACTTCCTCCTTACAGATACAAAACGACTGATATTTTAATTAAAATATGTTATGGGTTGAGCACAAATGTCTGTTTCCTCCCAGAACTTTCTTAGTTTTAAAGGTACAAACTTTTAGTTAAAGGTATATTTGACAATTACACAAGAATAGCTAACATAAATAAAAACAAATTTTCTCATTGAGTCATTTCTGAGGGTTTGAGAAAATGAAATATTTCAAAGTTAGAACTGCATGAATTCCTTCATAAAATGCAGAGGAATGTGTTATAGGAATAAAATGTTTTACCAACTGTCTGGAAATAATCTGAGTTCTCTAATTACACTGAGTTATTAGATAAGAGATATTTTTCTTTAAACTGAAGCCTTTTATTGACATAGAAAAACTCTCTCCAACAGATAAACTCTCTGTGTCTCCATCATGGCTGAGTCCTGGAGCCTCAGTGACTCTGAGCTGTGAGGTTCAACATCCACCTGCAGGAACCAGGTTCTTCTGGTATAAAGCTGTTCCTAAACCATTAAACATCTTCTACAACTATGAGCTGCTGCCTGGCAGCTCCAATGGGACTGATGAGAACGTCTACATTGTTCATGGACTCAATAACACAGCAGGTTATGTGTGTGAAGCAGGAAGTGGAAAACCAACTAACAGAAATCCAACTTTTGTCTGGTCAGCAGGTCAGTTTATCTGTGTGTCTCCACTCAGTGAGTAAAAAATGATGTTTTTACATTATTTCTACTGATCCATGAAGTTTATCCTTAACAGTAATTTAAAGTTGTTGGATTCATTATCAATGTAAAAAAGAAATGTTAAAGTTTTATCTTGGTTTTCAAATATTGTTGAATTTATCCAAAGCACAATAAAAAACATAAAATGATAAAGTGAAAAGTAAAAGTTTTGGTGTATTTGACAACAACCCCCCCTCCGACCAAAATCACTAATGAACTGCAGTTTGTCTTTTGAGACAAAGTTTTTGTTGAAGACATTTTGTTTGATTAATTTATTGCTTTGATAAAATGTATATTTGAAACTAAAGACAATAAATAAAGCCATAGATGATTTGGATGTTTCTATATTTATTTTCCAGATCCTCGTCCAGCAGCTTCTCTCTCAGTGAATCCTGACAGAGTTCAACACTTCAGATCTGAATCTGTGTCTCTGAGCTGTGAGGGAAACTCTGCTGAGTGGAGAGTGAAGAGGTTTATAGAAACAGGAAAACTGTCAGACTGCTCCATCTGGGGGACAATGAATGGATCTACATGCACCATCAACATGAACTGGTCTGATAGTGGAGTTTACTGGTGTGAGTCTGGATCAGGAGAGTTCAGCAATGCAGTGAACATCACTGCACATGGTGGGTGATGATTTATAAACTTTTTCTTTCAGATTCTTATCTATCCATTTCATATTTATACAGTGCAGAATGTTTCTTATATCTTCATCATTGTAAAACACAATATTTATGAATTACTAATTTTTCACTCCAACAAAAATACAATTTAACTTTTAGAAAAGTAAGAATCATAACATAAAATCAAATGATGATTTTGATGATTGCAACATATGGATTCTTTATAAAACTGGAGGTTCTGTGTTTTACTTCATGACGGTCAAATTGAGTTGTTTTAAATGCACAAGATCATTTGTGTATAAGTGATTGTTTATAGGTCATTTTTTTAAACATCCACTACGTATAATTAGTCCAAAATCAAAATATGTTCTGATTTATGTAAATGTAAAATCTTTTCTTCAATGACATACAGCTCCAACTTTGAAACTAATGCCTGAAATGTAATTTTATCTGTTTTACAGACATTAATAATATAATCCTGCTGAGTCCTGTTCATCCTGTGACTGAGGGAGATCCTGTTACTCTGAGCTGCAGAGATAAAAAACAACAACTTCTCTCCAATGTGTTTTTCTATCATAATGATAAACTCCTCCATGACAGCAGAGAGGAGCTGAAGATCTCTGCAGTGTCAAAGTCAGATGAAGGTTTCTACAAATGTCAACATTCAGGAAAAGATTCACCAAGGAGCTGGATGTCTGTTAGAGGTGAGGAGGATTTTAAAGACTTCATGTGTCTTCTTTGGTGAATCCATTTAGTTGTTTGGGGAGAAAATTGTGGATCTTTTTGAGGGAGTGATGCAGATGTTTTTCCATTTCCATTCCTTTTTAATGTTTCTTATTTCCAGTAACTGTATCCAGTCCTGTCAGCTCTTCATTTCGTGTGATGTTGATCGTTGGACCAGTTGTTGGAGTCGTTCTCTTTATTCTCTTTATTCTCATCATTCTCCTGCTGTCATGGTGGCGCTGCAGTCGGTCCAAATGTGAGACTTTTTTCTTCTCATACTGTTGTGGGATGTGAAGTGATACATAAAAATCAAGTGATTTTAATTTATTTGGCTGTTTTAACAAAACTGAGGATAAATTCACCATAATGCAACAAGTTTACTTTGTTCCCCTCATCCACAGATTCATGGTGCATCAGGTCAGTAAACTGATATTTACTTTTCTCAACAATCCTGCAGTGAATTTAATTTCAGTTTAATTTTTCCATAATTTAGGTCAGAGGTCAGCAGTCAGAGCTCCTCCACAAATCAAGGACTCAACCAGGCAGAGACTCAAGTTTACAGCTCTCTGCTTTATGGTTAGTAACTCTGTTGTTTTTACAGAGTGTATTCTCCTGCTACTCCCTGGGGATTTTTCAAACTTTTTAACCTGAACTATAGGAAAATACTAAATTTTCAAATTACAACTGTATCATAAACTTGTAGGGTTACATGAAGCTTCTGTTAGGTTATACTGGTTACAGACTGAATATTAATCTGCTTAAATTCATGCTATAATTTTAACCTTGACCGTTTTATTATTTTGCAGGTGATACTTCTGAGTATGAAACAATCCAGCCAGCCTCTAACAATAGTAAGATTTATTTCTTGAAGCCGTTTCAACAGCTGTCTGGGTAGAAATGGTTTGAAATTAAACACACAAATAAATGAATCCAAGTACTCAGCTAACGAGCTTCACTACGTTGAAAAGCACATTAAACACAAATAAATTAATGTATTTAGACTTTAGATATGGAAGATAATAATAAAATAATATTCATCCACCTATACCTGGGTTTAGGTTTCCTTCTCCATGTCTTGTTGTTATTTTAGACCAGTATCTGTACCAGAGCTGGTTATAGGCTGGTTACATTTGACCAACCAGTAAAATGTAACCAACACTCTAGTTTAAGAATGTTTTTCAGTGTTGGTCCTACTGTACTAAACATAATAGTTGATGCTTTGCTCGCTTCGACTCAGACACATTTTTTTTCTGCACAATTAATCTGCTTTGGGAACTTTGTTGTTTTTGCTTCCTCCTGTTCTCTTAAGGAAAACATTTGTTATACAGATTATATCCATCTGTACATTTTATTTTATTAATTTTATGCCTTCTTCACCTTAAATATTCTTGTTTGTTATTTCTGATGATTGACAGGGAGGCCTGTTAACCCAGAGGACGATCACATTTACACAAATTTGAACAACAGAAAACAAAGGTAGGTGATTTCAGCTGCGGCTCCAGTTAATNTTTTATTATTTTGCAGGTGATACTTCTGAGTATGAAACAATCCAGCCAGCCTCTAACAATAGTAAGATTTATTTCTTGAAGCCGTTTCAACAGCTGTCTGGGTTGAAATGGTTTGAAATTAAACACACAAATGTTTCATTAATAAATGAATCCAAGTACTCAGCTAACGAGCTTTACTACTTTGAAAAGCACATTAAACACAAAGAAATTCATATATTTAGACTTTAGATATGCAAGATAATAATAAAATAATATTCATCCACCTATACCTTGGTTTACTTTTCCTTTTCCATGTCTTGTTGTTATTTTAGACCTTTTGCCAGTATCTGTACCAGAGCTGGTTATAGGCTGGTTACATTTGACCAACCAGTAAAATGTAACCAACACTCTAGTTTAAGAATGTTTTTCAGTGTTGGTCCTACTGTACTAAACATAATAGTTGATGCTTTGCTCGCTTCGACTCAGACACATTTTTTTTCTGCACAATTAATCTGCTTTGGGAACTTTGTTGTTTTTGCTTCCTCCTGTTCTCTTAAGGAAAACATTTGTTATACAGATTATATCCATCTGTACATTTTATTTTATTAATTTTATGCCTTCTTCACCTTAAATATTCTTGTTTGTTATTTCTGATGATTGACAGGGAGGCCTGTTAACCCAGAGGACGATCACATTTACACAAATTTGAACAACAGAAAACAAAGGTAGGTGATTTCAGCTGCGGCTCCAGTTAATGTTTTCTCTGAAATGTGACCTCATACCAGCTCTACTACATGCTATTAAAACTCAACATGCTGTTCAGACAATCATTTTCCCTTTTAGCATCTACATGCTACAAGTAGAAACCATCAGAATCTGTCAGATCAGAAAACCAGCTGAGGACTTTTAGAGTTCTAGATAACAGACTTTCATCTGCATGAATAGTTTGTTTTGTCTGTGGATAAATGTTGCTTGTTGTTGATTGGATGAGAAATTATGGTGATTTGTTTTCAACATAACGTAGAACTACTCGGCTGATTTCAGTTCATCACAGCTTCTGCATCTTCAAACCAAATAATATCTCCTGCAGATGATCGTTGTGCTCTAAAAATACTGAGATCTGGTTTTTATTTTAGAATCCATTGAATGCTAAAAGTCACTATAGTGAGAAGAAAACAACAAGGTATGTGAACTCTGCATTGAGATGAATTTGTAAATATTCAATGTCATTTCATAGAATTTATAATAAGTAATTTGTTAAATATATATATATATATATATGTAATATATATATATAGTATTGACTTTCATATTCAGGTAAAATTTGCTGCTACTTTATAATATAGAGTAAAATATAAAAACATATTGTCAATCTTTGAAAATTTGCTGTAAAGTTTTCATGGTTAAAATTGTTTTTACAAATGATGACAAAATGTGTTACATTCTCACACCTTTTCTTTACAGGAAAGTGGAATCCTGCTGCAGTTTATTCTGAAATCTGATCAGGAATGATTTCAAAATGCCTGTCAGCTTTCTGGTGGTTCAGATTGAACTGAACTGAGTTTTTATAATAGCAACATAAAAAAAAAATCCCACATCCTCAAATGTTTCTAACGTTCTTTAAAAATGCAGCACTTCTCATGTTTATAGCTGTTCTCTGAACAAGAAAATCCATTTCTATGCTTTGTGTAAAGATATATTATTAGCACTGTTTATTTTATTTGCATCCAGAAAAAAAACATATTCCTTAGATATAAAAATATTTTTATGTATTTTTATTTTTGACCATTTTTAGGTCCATACTTTTTGTTTTAACTTGTAGATTTCTCCATATATTGTTGTTACATCTCTTCCATTTAATTAAAAACTCACTGGATGTATGTTTATGCAACGTGATATACAAAATCATACATAAACAACAACTTAAGAAGCGTTGATGCAATGGTAGAGTTTCACAAAGAGCAGTTTTAAAGAGACAGGCACCCAATTTCAAGGCTTTTCAAATCATATTTGATATATACAGTATTCTTATAACGTGGAATTACTGGATGATCATTTATGTTCTCTATTACACATTTAAAAGATATTTAGCTCTACTAAGGAAAAGTAATGCTATAAGACAATATTAAATTCTGTCTTTTGGAAATAAACATAGATTTGTATTATACTGGAGTCTAAGAACTGTGGATTTTTTAATAACTTTTCTTTGCTCTGTTCATGTAATGTTTGTTGTTTCCTATTTCTACAATGCTGAAGACAAAAGATGGGAATAATTGGCTGTTAATAGGTGAAAAAATAAACGGTGTTTCTTCTTAGATTAAGCATTAGAAACAGCTGAGCTGTCTTTATTCATTACTTTTTTTTTACAAACATATTACATTTAATAAATGTGTCACATTTTAATGTATATTTTGTGTT